GAGAGAGGGAGGGAGGCTAACGTGATCACTTGGAGTGTCCGCACGCGGCCCAGGAGCGCCTCTCTCCTTCGCGTTGCTCCTCATCACGTTTCTTGGCTGAGCCTCCGGCTCTCGGTTGTGTCCTGATGAGCCCTCGTTTCCGTTTTCAAGCTACGGACAATTCCCGAGTTTTCATCGCTCACAGCATCTGGGAAAAATTATGGGTTAGGAACACGGCCAGGGCCGTATGCGGCGGCTGTTACGCTGAAGTTAAGCAAGTCTGGGAGAGGCCCGGCAACCGGCCTGGGGCTCCGCTTAAGCCGCCTTGAGTTCCAGATCAAGAGAGAGGCGGGACGTGAATACACCAGATAAATAACTTTTGTGATCCCCTCCCAGCGTGAAGCAGCATGGACTAGCATTGGGGGGCGGGAGGGGAATTGGGGGGGACGCCACAATCGGAACTGTGAGCGAAGTCCACCTCCAGGCCGGCCCTACTTCGAAGCAACGGATTGAAGCTAATAGGAAAAAAAAAGCAAGAAATGGCTTGTTATTATTCCCACGACACTGTTACTGCCAGAGGTGGCGCGAAATGCTAGCGGGGTTTTCTGCCAAAATAACTCGGCTGTCTGGAGACGATGTATTTTGTTGCTCCTTCTCAAGCAGAAAATATATATATATATCTCGGTACTTCTGCTGGTATTTAGGGTTGAGCTGATGGCTCAACGTGACTGTGACTTGAACCCCAAAGAATTTTCGATCCCGAGTTCAGGCTTCTAGCCGCTATTCAGGCTGCTGCTGGAGAAGGAAATTTAGGAATTCCCGAAGATATAACCTTGAGACACAGATGTGGTGGAAGGAGGGGGGAAAGACTGAAGAAATGGAGCAGACGTTCCACAATTTTACTTACGCTGAATAGTATCCACACCTTTGCCCAGAACATAAGAGCACGTTCCTGGACCGCCATGTCGCCAGATCTAGCCAGAATTAAATCACTGTAGCCCCATTGACTGCAATTTTAATTCTGTCTGAAGGTGACAGGCTGGATCTTGTTCTAGTTTAATTCAACAGAAGGATTTAACTATCTAGCAAAGAAAAACGCCTCAGTGTTACTATTTTGCTTAAAAAGGTTTTGTACTAAGAGTTTTGTTTTGTTTAATTTCACCGCCTGCTTTTCAGAGCAAAGGAATCCAGGAGAGCAGCGCCTGCTGAACGTGAGGAAAACGTTGACAATACAACTTCGACCGATTGCAGTTCTGCCTATTTATTTAATTTTTTATTTATTTTCTGCCCTGTCTTTCTCCCCTTGTGAGGATTCAAGGCTGCTTTTAAAAAGTTGAATATCAGCAAATAATTGAAAACGTACTTTTTACAATGTGACAACCATGACGAATATACAAACCATGACGTTATACAAAAACTATAAAACAAAATTTTAAAACCCACTGAATCTCCCCACACCGCTTGCTTGCCTCCTGGTTCCCCCAAAGTTTCTCTAAAGAGGTCGAACTTTAAATGCCCCCGGAGAGAAAGATGGGAAGAGGCCAGCCACCCTCCCCAAGGAAGAGAGTTCCGTAACTCAAAGGCCAGGCGGGAGTTCTTCAAGGCGCAATGATTTCCCCCTTATTCAGGACCACAGGTTCAAAAGAAAGAATAGGTGGCCTTTCTGGCGAAGAACAGGGCGGCAGGTCGAACTCCTCAAAAGGCAGGTCATCATCATCATCATCTTAGAACGGCAGAGCTGGAATTATTCTCCTGTTCAGGAGCCACAATGAGGAATCGTACTCCGGTTCTTTACACCACTGAGCTATCGAGCACTTGGCAGCGACCCGGTTCTCTCGGGGGATCTCGGTTTGGTGCTTCGCCTCTCCCACATGCGTGGAGAAGTAGCGAAATCCGGAACACCCAGAGATCGCAATAGACCTCCCCCACCCTTTAACCACCCTTACACATTCCTCCCAAGGAAAGGGACATCGTGTGGCTTACTTTAGAGTCAACATATATGGGCTCAGGCCACCTCTTGTACGCGTACAGAAGCGACTTCTCCCAGAACTGGGGCGATGGATTCAAAACAGAGGCCTCTGCTGGAATATGATCCCATTCAAGTACTGTATGTACAGGGCGTAACAGGTGGCTCGAGACTAGTTGTTGACTCCGAAGCAATATCTCTTGTTCTCCACTGCAGTGGAAGCGGTATGGGCA